TTAAGCCAATTTGCTTCTCTGACATATACGGTATATTAGTCAAGGCTCTCCAGAGAAGCAAAGCTAGTAGAATATTTAGATCTAGTGCTCGCTTCAGCAGCACATATACTAAAATTGGAAAGATACAGAGAAGATTAGCATGGCCCCTGCACAAGGATGACACGCAAATTCGTGAAGCGTTCCATATTTTTTAAAATCAAGAAAGAAGAAAAAAAGAATATTTAGATCTAGATTTAGATCTAGATATATAGATAAACAGATGAGAGAGGATTTATTATAGGAACTGGCTGTGGCAATTATAGAGGTTGAGAAGTACCATAATCAGCCGTCTGCAAACTGGAGAACGGAAAATGCCGGTAGTGTGGCTCAGTCTAAGCCTGAAGTCCGGAGAATCAGAGGAGCCAGTGGTGTAATTCTCAGTTCAAAGCTGAAGGTCTGAGAAACTGGGGGCCTGCTGGTGTAAGTCCTGGATTCTGAAGGCCAGAGGACATGGGCTTCTGATGTCCAAGGGCAAGAGAAGGTGGCTATCCCAGCTCCAGAAGAGAGAGCAAATTCACCTTTCCTCTGCGCTTTTATCCTCAATGCATTGGATGGTGCCTCCCCACCGTGGGTGAGGGCAGAACTTCCCTATTCGATCCACTGATTCAAATGCGTCTCTTCCAAAAACACTGTCACCAACGCACCCAGAAATAATGAAATAATGTTTTACCAGCTATCTGGGCATAACTTAATCCAGAACATTCTTTTCTTTGAACATTCTTGTCTTTCAGGCCTTGAAAAATGTGCCAGTTCCATTTGGCCTCCGTAGTTTGGATGAGAAATTAGCTGTAATTTTTTATTTTTCCCTTACAGTAAGGTGTCACTTATCTCTTGCTGTTTTATGATTTTTTTCATTGTCTTTTGTTTTCAGGAGTTTGACTATGATATGTCTTGGTGTAATTGCTTTGAGTTTATCCTTTTTGGATATTAAATATGTAGCTTTCTGCTTTTTGCCCCATTGACAGCTAAAACTAGCCATCACAAATGGTATTCGTGATCAATATTTTAATTCTACTTTTTCTGTAGAATTAATCAAATTTACATTTTACTTTTAATTTAGGAATACATAAAGATGATTCAAAATTTTAAAACTGTTGAAAGATACTGTGAAGAGTCTTGCCATTCCAGCTACCCAATTTTCTTATCTGGAGGCCACCAATGTTAGTTTCCAACGTATCATTACAGAGATTTCTTAGGTAGATGAACGTATCTTTTTATGCAATTTTATTCTGTTCTTTTTTCCTTTCCTAATGTTCCAAGATGTTCTTTTATTATTATTTTCTTTCTATTTAGAGAGCTTCCTTTAAACCATTATTTTATAGTAGGTCTGCTGGTGACGCTATCTCTTTGTTTCACTTCATTTGTGAATATCTTGATTTCACCTTCATATTTTCACAGGTAATTTTTGGTTGAGCATTCTTGTCTTTCAGGTCTTGAAAAATGTGCCAGTTCCATTTGGCCTCCGTAGTTTGGATGAGAAATTAGCTGTAATTTTTAATTTTTCCTTTATAGTAAGGTGTCACTTATCTCTTGCTGCTTTATGATTTTTTTCATTGTCTTTTGTTTTCAGGAGTTTGACTATGATATGTCTTGGTGTGATTTCTTTGAGTTTATCCTTTTTGGATATTAAATATGTAGCTTTCTGCTTTTTGCCTCATTTGGGAAATTTTTAGCCATTATTTATTTGAATATTTTCCAGCCCCACTCTCTTTCTCCCCTTCTGGGATTTCTATAACACAAATCCTAGATCTTTTTCTATAATCCCACATGTTCTGGGGCTTTGTTCTTTTTTATTCTTTCAGTCTACTTTCTCTTCATTGTTTAGATTAAGCAATTGCTACTTGTATATCTTTAAGTGTGCTTTTTTGTTAATCTACATTTTTGACATTTTCAGATTGCCAGTTTTTTCAGCATCCACTTTGGGATACATGAGGCAAGAAGGAAACCTAGGGCCCTCACCACTGTGTTGTCCCTCAGATCCTGAGGTCACTGGCTGATCTGCCTTGTTCCCTCCACCATTCAGAGTCTTCTTACGTTTATTTTTTATATAATATCCAGGGTTTTTAATTGTATTTAGCAGGAGGAACAGGGAGTACATTCACTCCATCTTCAACATTGTTATTTTATATAGTTAATGTCTCTTTAAACATGGCTTCTTTGCTCACCATTCCTTCTTGCATGTCAAACCATACTTCTAGGATCATTATCTAAAGTACGCCCTTCAAAAAGTTCCTTCAATGAACTGTTGGTAGTAAACTCTCTCATTTTGATTGTATGAAATGACTTCCCTTACCCTGCTTTTGGTAAAAATCATTTTGTTTAGTACACCCTTATATATTGACAGTTATTTCTCTCAGCAATTTGAAAATATTTCTCTGCTGTCTTCTGGCTTTCAGTGCTGTTGTTGATTAGTCAATTGCAACATTACTTTTCATGTCATACATCCTTTCTCTCAAAGGATCCTTTCTTTGTTATTGTTGATCTGTAGTTTTCCCGTGATGTATCCACATTTAGATTTCTTTGCTGATCGCTTGTTCAGCTTACTGAATCTGAGCATTTGTGTCTTTCATCAGTTCTGGAGAATTCTTGGCTAAGATCTCCTCAATATTATGTCTTGTCCATTTTTTCCATTAGTTCTCTTTTTAAAATATGTCCCTTTTAAAAATAATACTTTTTTAAAAAGTCATTTCACCAGATTCAGTGTTTGGTAAGGATCCACTCTCTTGTTCATAGGTGGTGACTTCTGGCTATTTCCTCACATGGTGGAAGAGGGAAGGCAGCTGTTGGAGGTCTTCTTTATAAAGGCACAATAAATGACACAATAATATCAAGCAATGGTCCTCTTGTTAGATGCTATTTAGCCTTCCGAGTCTGCCTTCCAGCATCTCAAATTCTGATATAGTTCATTTCTTTGTTTCTCTATGTTGCTTTCTTGGTGATTACTTCAGATGTATCTTCCAGTTCATGAATTCTGTTGTTAATTGTATCTGATACAATGTATAATATGTCCACTACATCTCTTATTTTACTTAGTATACTTTTTTTATTTTTCAACTTTACTTTTCTTCAAACCTCCCTGTGTATTAAAAAGATAACTATTGAAGATAAAAACTTCAAGCATATTAAAGTAAGAGTAGTGTAGTAAAGCCCTATGTACCCATTAACCAGCTTTAACAATGAATAACTCATAGCTAATCTTGTTTCCTCTGTATCCCTACCTACGTCCTCTCCCTCTCTGGATAATTCTGAAGCAATCCCTGACATCATATTATTTTATCTGTCATAGTTCAATATGTATGACTAGTAGATAAGGATTTTCCTTTAAATAAATGATACTAACATTTTCATACCCCCTAGAAGTCCACTGTAATTCTTTAATATCAAATACGGTAGTCTTTAAAAAATATTTTATGGTTTGTCAATCATACTTTTAATATCCTCCTTTATTTCTTCAAACACAGTAAACACACTAAATTTATATATATATATATATTTTACAATATATTTAGTCTTTGTACACCTGATATATATATACATATTTTTTTCTGCTGGCTCTTGCTCATGGTAGTTTGTTCCCTCATGCATTTGTGATTTTTTTTTTTTAAATTGTGAGCTTATGGTTATTGGAACTCTCTAGGAATTCTTTGAGATTTCAGTTAATGTTCATTTCCCCAGAGATTTGTGATTGATTCTTCTAGGCACCTGGAGCCCACACTAATCTGTAATTATGACAATTCTATTCTCAGGTTGGGTTTTTCAGCCTATAGTGTAAATTTTACACCAAGTTTATGCGACTGTCACCTTGTGATTCGTAATTCTTAGAAGAGCCTTTATTTTCCTTCCTTACCCACAGTCAAAGCTGAGAGAGTCAAGGCTTTTTATGGTCTATTGCAGTGATATTAATTTTATTTTTACATCTTGCCTTCACTGAGGCTGTTGGTTTTTGTGGAACTGGCTCTATGAAACGCTGTCAATTTGCATAAACCCAGGCATTGTCTCTTGTCCTTCTGCACATGCCTGTACTCTGTTTAAAAACTATTCATGATCATGTATTGGCAGATTTCCTGAAGACAAGATTTCATTTCAATGCTCAGTTATGGCTTGGATTCATGCCTTTTTACTACTTTTATCCTATGAGGATTTCTTTCACTGTGTTCTACTCAGCTAAGCATTTAAAATGGTATTATACATGTTTCATTCAGCACTTTAAGATGTTCTGTACTGGGATTCCTCAGAATATCTGCTGTGTTGCCATATTCCTACAAAGAGGAAGGAATCCAAATTATTATGACTTAATCTCCACCTGATTTGCTGCCAGAAATTAGCCTTCATCACAGTGTCTCCCAGCTGTTCCTGAGAGCTTCCCATTCAGGGAGCGATCTGATGTTGTCTTAGTTTATTTGGGTGTTCTAACAAAATACCATAAACTGGGTAGCCTATAAACAACAGAACTTTATTTCTCGTAGTTCTGGAGGCTGGAAAGTTTAAGATCAAGATGACAGCAGATTCAGTGTCTGGGGATGTTAACAGTGGAGGGTATACAGGTTCTTGGCATCTTGAACAAAGAATTGGACAAAACACACAAACAAAGCAAGGAAAGAATGAAGAGTTTTATTGAAAATAAAAGTACACTCCGCAGTGTGGAAGCGGGTCTGAGCATAGGGGCTCAAAGGCCCTTTGCAGAGCTTTTGTGAGTTTAAATACCCTCTACTTGGGGTATAACGTATGTAAATGAAGACGATGAAGTAAAGTTACAAGGTCATTTATGGCATTCACCCTATAGAGAGGATATTTCCCGTTATAGCTGAAATGTGAATTGGCCTTATGTTCTCTGCCTCCAGACCCTATTTTCCTGCCTCAGTGAGGATCTTCTCTCTTGTTCATGGATGGTGCCTTCTGGCCATCTCCTCACATGGTGGAAGAGGGAAGGCAGCTGTCAGAGGCCTCCTCTATGAAAGCACTTATCTCATTCATGAGGGGTCTAGCCACTTCCCAGAGGCCTCACTCTTAATACCATCACATTGGTCATTAGTTTCCACCTATGAATTTTTCAGAGGACACAGACATCCAGACCATAGCAGATTGGTTCTTCGGTTCAGATCCTCTCTGCTCTGTTCTGTCTTTCTCATATGACCCTCATGCTTCTGCTGCTTATAACTCTCATTAGTTTATCGTTCTGCTTGGCAAAGCTGTCCTCTGGTGGTGACTGCCACTGTCACTACTATTTTTGGCAAGAGACACTGTTCTTTTCTTTTACTTCAGGCCAAATATTGGATAGGCCCTTGTCCTCAATTCTCTAAAGAATAGAAGGTATGAGAGAGAGCATTGTAACACAGAAATGAGCTTACAAATGCTTCCCAGGGCCAGACCCATACTCAGGACTTCTGATTGACCTGCCTCTCTGCATCTCTCCTACCTTATTGCCATGGGTCAATAGTTAGTTTACTTTTCAACACCTGAGTTCCTCTACTCACTAATGGGCTTTGGAGTCTAGGCTAAAATTCAAAGTCCTAAAGAGGGGAATTTTTATGCTCCTTTGCCCAGGCCAATTCTCACCTTCCCAGTCCCTATTCTCTTTGCCAGGAATGACTGCCACTCATAGTCATTGCAGGAGGATGGTTTGTTTTGTTTTTTCCCAGAGAAGCCCAGAGAGATATGGCCCTAACCTATGCATGTCAAACTAGTCTGAGACTAGTGCATTTTTTTTCAAGGTCTAGATCTTTGAGTGATATTTGTAAGACTTTACCAATTCATTTCAGTTTAGGCTGCACTGAGCCTAGTCCATTTATTTTTCTGACATGCTGTAGATCACAGCTTAGATAATAAACATACACAAACTTGCCCAAGAAACACATAATACAAAAGAGGCACAAAGCAGTCTAAAGCTGTATGTAGAAGAATAACTGCTTTCTAAGGGACAAATAATCCTCAGTGATGCAGCTGTCCTTAAAACATCTACCCAGTTTACCTGACTACACAGAACACTAAATATTCAGGTTACTTCACTGCATTTAGGTTTTTTCCATAAGGAATGGGCAGTAATATGTCTTTGATTTGCATAACTGAGAGTCCCCAGGGTGGTGGGTGTTCCAGAAAAACAAATGGAAACAATAATCAGCCTCAAAAGTAAACTCAAATCTCCTCCTAGAACCTCCTTCTCCCGACACACACTTACAAACCAAAAGCTGCCACTCTTTAAATGGCAATTTTCCCAGCTACTGTATTCATGTATTTTCTAATAAGAATGTTTCATCTGGCCGGGCGCGGTGGCTCATGCCTGTAATCCCAGCACTTTGGGAGGCCGAGGCGGGTGGATCACGAGGTCAAGAGATCGAGACCATCCTGGTCAACACGGTGAAACCCCATCTCTACTAAAACTACAAAAAATTAGCTGAGCATGGTGGCACGTGCCTGTAATCCCAGCTACTCAGGAGGCTGAGGCAGGAGAATTGCCTGAACCCAGGAGGCGGAGGTTGCGGTGAGCCGAGATCGCGCCATTGTACTCCAGCCTGGGTAACAAGAGAGAAACTCTGTCTCAAAAAAAAAAAAAAAATGTTTCATCTACTACATCACTTACATACCTTTCTTAAGCTATCACAAAGCACAGGGTTTTACTCTTAGTGGACACTTGCTAAATGTAGGTTGAATGTCACATATTAGTGTGAATGATTCTTAGTGAGCATGATTTGACTCGCACCTCTGTCTTCCTACTGTGCTAAGGAAATGAGGGCTTTGATGTAGGGTGAGGTTGAGGTTTCATTGCAATATGTGGCAATGGAGATCTTTAAATCCCTGCTCTGCCAAATATTGTGTGACCTTAGGTAACTTATTTTTTCTAAGCTTCAGTTTCCTTGTAAAAATGTTAATACATTAAAGAACTCGGCAAAGTGTCTCAATGAATATTAACACTCTCCTGTTTTTGCTTCTACCACCTCTTAGCCTCAACATACCAGAGGCCACTCTGACTCCAGGGATGACCAGAAGAAGATGCAGCCCAGACCATTCATGCGCATGTTTCTGAGTTCTAGAGATTATTTGTAGTTGTACTGGGACATCCCAGTTCAGATATGCTACTTGCTTTCTTTGACTCCCGCAGGCATTTGTAGGCTATTCCCTAAAGCTAGAAAGGAATCAAGGAAGGCTTAAGCCCTATTGTTACAGGAAAGCCGGTCCTAATCCAGACTCCAAGACAGGGTTCTTGAATCTCACACAAGAAAGAATTCAGGGTGAGTCCACAGAGTAAAGTGAAAGTAAGTTTATAAAGAAAATAAAGGAATAAAGTGTGGCTACTCCATAGACAGAGCCGCCCCGAGGGCTGCTGGTTGCCCAGTTTTATGGTTATTTCTTGATGATATACTAAACAAAGGGTAGATTATTTATGCCTCCCATTTTTAGACCATGTAGGCTATCTTCCTGACATTGCCATGGCATTTGTAAGCTGTCATGGCACTGGTGGGAGTGTAGCAGTGAGGACGACCAGAGGTCACTTTAGTCACCATCTTGGTTTTGGTGGGTTTTAGCTGACTTCTTTACTGCAAACTGTTTTATTGGTAAGATCTTTATGACCTGTATCTTGTGGCCAACCTCCTAACTCATCCTGTGACTTAGATGCCTTAACCCTCTGGGAATGCAGCCTGGTAGATCTCAGCCTCATTTTACCCAGCTTTTACTCAAGATGGAGTTGCTTTGGTTCACACGCCTCTGACACTATAATTTTGTATTTTCCAAACTGTTAGTTTTGACTCAGTGACTCCTGAAATTAATTTAGTGAATAACCAACACCTTGAAAAATTATATAGTATAATAAAAAGAAATATGCATAGTTAGAGGAAATCATGTTTTGTGAAACTTTTGTATGAAACGAGTCACATTTTGTATACAATGTGTTTCTTATGCGAAAGTTGTTAGAATCAAAATGGAGTTGCTAATGTTAAAACCAAACCAAACCAAACAGCCCTGACAAATAGAGCCAGGGAAGGCTATGAAGAGAGGGTTCTTATGACTGGTAACAAAAACTGTCACAAAAGACTGCAAAAACTACAACCTTGCACAAAGGACATTGCAAACTTACAGAAAAAATACTTCCGCAAGGTCATCTACTCATCAGCTGCCTGTCCGTCTGGACTAGTACCACTCTTGTTATCAGTCTTTGGAGCCAACGATAATTATTTCAAAACAATAATGTAATAATCCGCCTCATTTTTCCTTTAATAATATGTGTCTTCCTTTAGCCCCCTGAATACACACATAGTTTACTTTGGTTCACATAGTGCCATTGTAATACTCTATTCACAAAGAAACATTGCTTTCTTTTAGATATCCTCTCTTGGTTTGTTATTTAGATTGACACTTGCTGTGGATTGCAGTCAAAAAATCTGAGTGACACTACTCTTAAGAGTTCTGATAGGTCAGGTGTCGTGGCTCACACCTGTATTCCCAGTGCTTTGGGATGCCAAGGTGGGAGGATCCCTTGAGGCCAAGAGTTCAAACCCAGGCTAGGCAACATAGCAAGACCCCATCTCTATCAAAAATTTTAAAAATAGCCGTGTATGGTGGCACGTGTTTGTAGTCCTAGCTACTCAGGAGGAACTATGATCACATCACTGTACTTCAGTCTGGGTGACAGAGCAAGACTTTAAAATAATAATAATAATAACAATAATAATACAAAAAAAAGATAAAAAAGAGTTCTGATAAAATAAAACATTGTCTTAATTATATAAAAATAAAGTAACATAAATGAATATTCTCAAATAAACAAAAATAGCATGCCCCACGTGGTAAATGGATTGCTCTATTGGTCCTAATTATTTACTACTCTGTGGACACATCCTATGCCACAAAATTTGTAGCACATTTCCACTCTAACTCTGCTCTCAGTTTTGTGACTTGACTTGGCCAATGAGATATTGGCAAATGAGATGTGAGCAGAGGCTTGAAAAGCACTTGTGAAATTAGGCTTGTTCTTGCTCTAGCCTTTTGCCATGATTGTGAAAACATGTCCAGGCGAGCCTGCTGGAGGATGAGACTCACGTGGTGCAGAGTTGGGAGCAGAGATGGCCCCCATCTCCCAGCCAAGGTTATCCTAGACTGGCTGGCAGACAGCTAACCCCCCTAGAAAAGATCAGAAGAACCACTCAGCTGAGCCCAATCCAAATTGCCCAACCTGCTAATCATGAATGAAATAAATCTTTTTATATGCAATGGGGGTTTGTAGTTGTTTGTTATGGAGAATTTTTGTGGTAATAGATAATATATGTATATACCAAATAGGATATTAGCCATTAATAAAATTCATAATAATCATTATAATAAAATACATATCAATTTTCCAAACACCATCTCACTTGGTAGTCTCAAAAATAACTTTTCATCTTTGTATTTCACATTTTACTGGGTGCTGCATATAGGGCCTTTACTAAGGAAAGGGCTTATTTAATTAATTTAATAGAAGACAAGGTGGCAGAGGAAGTAGATCTGCTCAAGTTGCTCAACAAGGTTCTGTTACCAGGAGACTCAGATTCAGCCTCCCAAGAACTCTCTTCATCAGAACAATCTGCAAGTTGCTGACCTCTCCCATCTTCCAAAATGAAAGGCTTGGTTCCTACCCATTCTTCTGGATCTACCTCAATTTTCATAAAAGTTCCTGAGGGATGTCAGTTTGAATAATTAGAATTGGCATTTTGCTAGCAAGCAAAATAGAGGCCCTTTCTCAGGAAACCACAATGACACTAATATCCTCCGAGAGCATCCTGTCCTCCAAATAACCTGATTTGTTTTCCCTAAATTTGCATTTTCATTTGATCATTAAAAATGAGTTATTCTTTGTTATAGGAAACCTGTGATTCTCTTGACAAGTTTGGCCTGTTGGTTCTCGCAACAAGATCCTGGTGCCGTTCGCTCACTGGACATTCAGTTTCCAGGGGTCACCAGTTATTTAATAAAATCCTGCTCCTAAGAATAAGTATTCACCGCAGCCAACGATGAAGGCATGGAGAATGGCAAAGTGGTAGTGGAAGTGGGAGTGGGGAGCTTTAGTTTGCTTTTACATATCAGTAGGTTAAGAAAACAACCATTATCTATATTAATAGAAGTGTGTGTGTGCATTTGTGTATGTTGATGAGGGAGAAATAGAAAACAGGACAAAACCCTTGAAAGCCTCCCCGTGATGCCAGCAACCTCCATCAGACAGACCTGATAATTTGTGAATCAGAAATAGCCCCAAATACCCTGAGTTTTATTGATAATGGGGCCAGTAAGCAACAACTTCACCTATGTCTCAGGTGTATTTCAGTGTCAGGTTTATGATCCCAAAAGAAGGCCCATTTCTTTTGGGCACCTGCTATGTACTGGTCAGTGTTTTGGGTGCTGGAGAGATACAGACAAATGACTCAATCCTAAACTAGGATGATCTAGTCTGCAATTGTTTGATGTGTCTGTGACACCAGGGAAGAGGTCAATGTTTTGGCTCTGTGATGACTTAATTACAGTAGCCCAATGGGGCTTCTTCCTCCCCTTAAAATTTCTCTGTTTGCTTGATAGCTTGGTTGTTCTTTATATCTTCTGGTGGTTTTACTTTGTGTTGTTCTGGGGTTTGCATTTGACACAGATAAATATTGAATAAAAATATTCATTAAATAAATGTCGAAACAATGATTTTTTTAATGCCTCAAAATGAGTGATCAGCTGGTTGAACAGAATTCACAGAAGACAGTACATGTGTTTGTGTGCACACAAAAATATGTTCAAGAATCAGATCTGATATATATATTTAAGAACCTAAGTACTTTTTCAGCTAAGGATCTTAGGTTGACTTGAATCAAAATTTGACTTACATTTCCCCTACTGCTTAAAGCTTGGTTTGAAGCTTAAATACTTGCGTTCAAAGTACTTCAGCTTTTAACAAAATCCTTTGGATTCCATCAAAATAGTAGATTAAGTATGCTTACCTCAATCCCCTGCTTCACAAAAATGCTGCTGCAAATCTATTTTAATGAATGTTTCACATAAGCCTTTCCTTGAGAAATGATTAGTAGGAAAGTTTAAGATAATCAATTTTAGCTAGAAAAACAAACCATTTCTGCACAAATTTTTCTTTTTTTTTTCTTTTTTCCTACATGAGCAAGGGTTTCAGGAATCAATTTGAACAAATTTAAAATAAGATTTGTTTTTATTAAAGGAGTTTTTTAAATCAGCCTTGAAATCATGTAAGTTATAGGGAAATGAAATTAAAAAAAAAAATTTGCCCTCATGGAGCACTTAAGTATTTTTAAAACATGTTAGTTTCTTTTTGTGTTGTTATACATTTATTATTTTTATGAAATAAATTGGCACTCATGATGAGAGGTCACTATTTAGTGATGCATTATCACATTATCACCAATATTTATGATGACTGAGTAGTACACACATGTATCATTCACATTCTTATTTAGGGTTAGATTTATTTTTACTCTAAGTGCCTGTAATCTATTCAACCTCATAGAATTCAACGGGATTAAAAAATAATCAACATAAATATTTCTTGAATATAGGTGTGATGGTTAATACTGTCAACTTGATTGGATTGAAGGATGAAAGGGTTGATCCCAGGTGTATCTGTGAGGGTGTTAACATTTGAGTCAGTGGGCTGGGAAAGGCAGACCACCCTTAATGTGGGTAGGCACCATCTAATCAGCAGCCAGCGCAGCCAGAATATAAAGCAGGCAGAAAAACATGAAAAGACTAGGCTGGCCCAGCCTCCCAGCCTACATCTTTCTCCCATGCTGGATGCTTCCTGCCTCCGAACATCCAACTCCAAGTTCTTCAATTTTGGGACTCGGACTGGTTCTCCTTGCTCCTCAGCTTGCAGACAGACTATTGAGGGACCTTGTGATCATGTGAGTTAATACTTAATAAACTCCCCTTTATATATATGTATCTCCTATTAGTTCTGTCCCTCTAGAGAACCCTAATACAATAAGTGTAATTTATCATCATACATTCCAAAATTATCTTCTATTTTTGAGACCAGAGGGTTGTGTGATCATACAGAAAAATGTAACTATAATATTGTAGAGCTGGAAAGAACTCAACATAATCCAAGTCCTTCATTTAACACCGGAAATGACTTGACTCATAAAGGTTAAGTGATTTGTTGACCATTCTAACCTCATATACCAAGACAATTTCAGAAATGTTCAGCCTGGAGATGGCAGTTGGAGTAACTTACACATAATTGCCTCTGCTGAGTTTTTTAACCAACCACTTTTGAACTTTCTAGAGTACAATACAAGGGCAAAATGTCAGGCTACATATGGGAGCTAGGGGTGGGTCGTTTGGCTGATGTGTAACCGTGTTGTGTTCTTCATTACTCACGTAATACTCATGCTGCCAAGAGCTCACACCAGAAACTGAGAGGAAGGAGAGAATGAGGATCAGAAAGGAATAGCAAACAACTCCACTGGGGATAGCATGCTGATTCTACACTGGCAAATATTATTTTTTATTTTTGTTTTTATTTTTTTTATTTATTTATTTTTTGAGACGGAGTTTCACTCTTGTTACCCAGGCTGGAGTGCAATGGCACAATCTTGGCTCACCGCAACCTCTGCCTCCTGCATTCAGGCAATTCTTCTGCCTTAGCCAGGACTATAGGCACGTGCCGCCATGCCCAGCTAATTTTTTGTATTTTTAGTAGAGACGGGGTTTCACCATGTTGACCAGGATGGTCTCGATCTCTTGACCTCGTGATCCACCCGCCTCGGCCTCCCAAAGTGCTGGGATTACAGGCGTGAGCCACCACGCCCGGCCATACACTGGCAAATATTGACATAGATATCAAACTTTTGGTTAGAACCATTAGGTGATACGAGTTTCTGAATCAGAGGGTTTCACACCTATATGCCACTCAAAACCAGGTGTGTGGAATAATCCAGACAAGACTAAGGTTTATGAATACTGTTAGTGAGATGCTGAGATAGTGTCCCTGGTTCATGATCAATTATGATAACATTGTGAAAGTTGCCTTCCAGGAGGCTGGCAGTCAGTAAAAGCTTCTTCAGGAGGAATTCCAAATCGAAACTTGCCAACATTTGTATGACTAGTTGAATCTGGTTTTGGGGTGAGGAGGCAGTGTAGGATGGTAGAAAGGACCTGGGCTTTTAAGGGAAACATACCCGAATTGAACCTTTACTCCACTGCAGGGTGATTGTGTGGCTTGTCTGTAAAATGGGAGTAATGATGCTGCTCTGTCAGCATGGTTTTAAGAATTAGATGCAGGGATGTGCAAGGTATAGAGTCGGTACTCAGTGAGTGGTAGTCTTTATAAATTTTTCTCCATCTATTTGAGGAAGGACAATAATAGTACATTGGCTTCCATTATTGAGACTTTATTATTATTATTTGGGAGGCAGGGTCTTGCTCTGTCACTCAGGCTGGAGTACAGTGACGTAATCATTGCTTGCTGTAATCTTGAACTTCTGGGCTCAAGTGATCCTCCTACCTCAGTATCCCGAGTAGCTAGGACTACAGGTGCACGTCACCATGGTTGGCTAATTTTTAATTTTTTTGTAGAGACAGGGTCTCACTATGCTGCCCAGGCTGGTCTTGAACTCCTGGCCTCAAGGGATTCTCCCGTCTCAGCCTTCCAAAAATACACTGTACCCAACCCTGAACCTTTATTAGATGCCAGACAAGAACTTAATAAACAGTCTTTCTGAATCTTCACAACAACCCTATGGACTGAATATTATTGACATCATTTTTCATAAATAGGAAACTTAGACTCACTAAGTTTATGTAACATAGCAAGGTCAAGGACACTTGAAAAGTAAGATACAGAGGCAGGGTTGCAACCAGTGTATCCAGCTTTTCCCTACCATTCTACACTCTCTCTCACGTCGTTTGGAGTCTGGAGACTGATTCCGCTCCATAGATGGTCCTTCTTTCCATGTCTGTTTAGGCTGAAAAGAAAGATATGCATCATTAACTAATAAAGATGACTTTAAAATCTCAGAACTAACTCTTTAAAATGAATGTGTGGGAGAAAAGTTCCAAATTTCTACAGTTTTTAGTTGAGACCCTCAAAAACCAAGGTGAAACTAAAAGACAGTGAGACAGATGTTTGACTTTTAGCTTAAACAGTGAAATTTTTAGTGCTCTGTGTTTGTTTTAGAACATATTTTATAGCAACTGCTCTCAAAATGATGAGAAGAGAGAAATCTCTTTTAGTGTTTGGAAGCACTTATTTTTTTCATTTTCGTTTGAATTACAATGTTACAATTGGCTTTAGAAGGTAAAGTTTTTAAGATATTTATCCTAACTTCCGACGTTAGCTGATTTCCATTAGCTCTCTGCTGCAGTGAAATTCAGGTAAACACAATTTTATTTCATGCCTTCCGTTAACAAAGTCAAAAGATTAAAACATACAAGGTCATGTTCCTTTCAGTCTGACAAAGCATTTAGCTGGGATTATATTTATTGCCTTGGGGTTTTCTTGCTTCTAAAAGATTGTCCTGATTTCTTTGGGTTAAGCTGGCTGGTGACACCTTGTTATCTGAACTTGTAGGTGGAGATGGTGGTTGGTTGTTTTTCCACCCCAGGACCTGCAGGGACCTGGCAGGGGGCTCTCCCCTTCTGACAGGTTCCCTGCAGGTCCTGGGGTGGAAAAACTTTGGGAAAACAGCCTTATAGCAAATCTGCTCACTGCTTAATTAATACAATTGCATATCAATTTGTTACCTTACTGATCTGTCCTTTTCTCAGTGTTACTATATTTGGAAAGATAAATTACCACCAGTTAATCCACCAACAAGTATTTTAACAACATTTTAAAGGGTATCTAGCAAGCTATTGACACCCCGGCAGTTGCAAGGAAGTGTAGCATACTGGAATGAGCAAGAGTTCCTGGTGAAGAAAGTTTGAGTCTGATGATGATAAGACAGTAATGCTGCTGTAGATAATGCTGGCAGGGGTCATAACCGCCCATTACTGAGCATCTTTCAGTTCTCAGAATTAGTGATTTGTCTGTTTTTAAATCTCACACTTTCCAACACGACTTTCTAAAACTCACACAACTTCTTGTTAACTGGTGCAGCATCTGCGGCATGGTACTAACTCTTGGGTCACTTACTGTAATGTCGCAGTTAGGAAATAATGTGCATAATACAAATGTGATGCCAGAAATGTAAGCTACATCCCTTCACCTCTGGAAACTGCATTTTCCTGGGGATGATCATACCTATGAATTTTTTTTTTTTTTTTTTTTTTTTTTTTTTTTTTTTTTTTTTTTTTTTTTTTTTTTTTTTTTTTTTTTTTTTTTTTGAGGCGGAGTCTCACTCTGTCGCCCAGGCCGGGGTGGAGCGTAGCGATCTTGGCTCACTGCAGTCTCCACCTCCCGGGTTCAAGCTGTTCTCCTGCCTCCAGCCTCCTGAGTAGGTGGGATTACAGGCGCGTGCCACCATGCCCGGCTAATTTTTTGTATTTTTAGTAGAGATGGGACTTCACTGTGTTAGACAGGTTGGTCTCGATCTCCTGACCTTGTGATCCGCCCGCCTCGGCCTCCCAAAGTGCTGGGATTACAGGAGTGAGCCGCCGTCACGCCAGGCCTGGTACCAGTGAGATATTAAAGGGTAGTTGTAAGGATCAAGGAAGAGATAATGCAATGTGCCAGGTGTACAGAAGACGTTTCATAATTTGTAGTAATTATTAATATTATTATTATTACTGGACATAGTCTTGGCCTCTAAGAAGTCTCAGTGATGGGAGGAAAGGTTTAAGAATGCGATCAACAGTGACAAGTGCTAGAGAGGAGCCAAAAGTTAAAGGAAATAAGACTCAAGAATATTGCTTTGTTAGCTCAGAGATTTTGGAAAAGGAACTCAGGGAAGTCATGAGGCTGGGCATGAAGGACTCACTGAAAATGCATGCACATTCGCTGCGTGTGGTGGCTCATGCCTGTAATCTCAGCACATTGGGAGGCCGAGATGGGAGAATTTCTTGAGCCCAGGAGTTTGAGATCAGTGTGGGCAAAATGGCGAAACTCTGTCTCCACTAAAAAAAAAAAGAAAGAAAAAAGAAAAAAAAAATTAGCCAGACATGGTGGTGCACATCTGTGGTTCCAGTTACTTGGGAGGCTAAGGTGGGAGTGAGGAACTTGTGTTAACTTCTCCTCCCAAGTCCGCAAGGGGCGTGGTTTTAAAGGCAAGAACTTCCCAGTGCCATACCTCCATCCACACACCCCCCATCCGGAAGCCTAGAGTTCTTTGTCTAACTATCGCGCTGGCGGGAAAGGTAGACAGTCCAGGTGAGCTCCCTTTGTTTAGAAAGTCGGCGAAAAGCTATGGAAGGACTGTGGGCCCGGCAACCAATCCAGCATTAGAGTCAAAAACCCATCACTCCAGAGGAAGTTTGAAAGAACTCCTCTCACTGGACAAGGACTTGAATGGGGCAGGAGTGACTCCCAGATTAAAAGTCCCCCTGCCCCTTACCTGTGCGGACGTCATCTCTGGATCCCCTCCCACGGCAGCGTGGGAATTTCCTCTCTCTCTCTCCCCCTACTTCTCTTTCTCTCTCTTTCTCTCTGCCTAATAAATCGCTTTTCTGCAAAAATTCTTTGGGTCCGATATTTACGTGAAAGAGCCCACTACACCTCCAGGGCCTCTTCCCCCTGCTGGCGGGGGCGTGGGGGGGCAGGGGGCGGGGGCCAAGAACCTGGAACACCCTGTTACAGGAGGATCACTTGAGCCCAGGTGCTTGAGGCTGCAGTGAGCTGTGATTATTCCACTGCACTCAGCTTGGGCAACAAAGCAAGACCTTGTCTCAAAAAATAAAAACAACAACAATAAAAAGAAATTCACACACTCATCCCTGCGCATTGCAATGCATTAGACAGTGTCCCACAGCATACTCTCTTACTTGCTAGTCTCACACTGGGACTGTGTTAAAACTAATTTCCAAGCCTCCTCTCCCTGGTCTTTGGGTAGCTCCATTTATGTTTCTGGGACAGACTCAGTCCCATTGTTCTCTTCAACTGGTCCTGCTGAAGCTGCCAGGGACGGCTTCTCTTCCACAGAGGAAAGGCTGAATGTGTTGAAGCTGCCTTCAGTCTTAGCCTCGGGGTTTGTGAACAGCAAACTCTAAAGAGTTATAGTCCACCGAATGCTGCACAAAGAGACTGAATTGATAAGAGCTGTGTCTCTGTCACCTGTTAACTGTTAATTGTCATTAGCTTTGTTGTCTAGTTTGTTGACAGCGGACTGAGAGACATCCAAATGCTGCTCTATTTTGCCTCTGCAATTGTTACAGCAAATCTCAGCACTGTACTTGTTTTGGTCTTTGCTAGTTAATAATAAATTTAAATTATGTAAACAAAATCTTGCTTCTCTTGAGTATTTCAGCTTTTCTGTCCTTCCCCTTGGCTGCACTAAATCTGCATGAGAACAACACTGAGCCTCAGAAGCACCTTTATAGAGATATCTCAACTAACACTGCTGAAAAACAGCTCACAGGTGGCATCTACTTATTTGTTTGTTTGTCATATCAAGTTTAAAAAATAGGTAATACATGTTCATAGTAAAGTTTTCAAATGGAAAAAAAAAAGGGTTAGTGGCTGGGCATGGTGGTGCATGCCAGTAATCCCAGCACTTTGGGAGGCTAAGGCAGGTGGATCACCTGAGGTCAGGAGTTTGAAACCAAACTGACCAACACGGAGAAACCCTGTCTCTCCTAAAAATACAAAATTAGCTAGGCATGATGGCACATGCTTTTAGTCCCAGCTAACTCAGGAGGCTGAGGCAGGAGAATTGCTTGAATCCAGGAGGCAGAGGTTGCAGTGAGCCGAGATCACGCCATTGCCCTCCAGCCTGGGCAACAAGAGTGAAACTCCATCTCAAAAAAAAAAGTTTAGTAGTGGAAAGTAAGTCTCCTTTCCCAATTTCCCATTCTACTTTTTTTTACAGCATATTTGTGGCATGATATAATCCGATCTGAGTACAGATGAAATTTGAGGTTTCATGTTATGGAAAATGAATGTTTCCAACTTTGTCAATGCTGTCACTTTACAACTATGAATACATTGAATTTACTGACAAGAAGTACTCCCTGCACTGAAATATGACAGCAGCAGCAACAGACAGGAAAGAGAACAGAGAGAGAAAAGAGAGCACATTAGAAGTGAGTGAAGACAACACCTAGACCTCTGATGAGGCTTCCCAACACCAACTTTCCCATTCCTAAGCTGGCATGTGACCAGCTCATGGAAGGACAGATTAGGGAGCTTCGTGGTGAAAGGTACCATGGAAGTCAGACTCTACCCCTACGGAACTTCAGAGAAAGCACCAAAGTCCTTTGCTCTAGCTTTGCAAAATAATTTCAAAAGTTGTTTTGAAAACAAAATCTACATAGTCATCAGGATTTCAGGGAATCACTCATATTTCCCTGGCTGTCCTGACACTCTTATTACCACTTCACAGCATGAAACCAAGAATAGAAAAATCTGCTTACGATGCTTACCCATAGGTGTTTCTTCCACATGCCTATTTTCATTAAAAAGAATAAAAAATAAAAAACTAAAATAAAAACAAACAAGCAAATGAAAATTCCAAAAGTCAAAGAAAAGCCTCAAGAATCCTTCTGTGCCCCAGGATGCTCTCAATTTCTTTCTAAGCCTGACTTCTTGGGTCTCCTGCATTAGGGTCAGGGTAAGTACAAACCAATTGTTTATTTTGTTTGTCATTTACCTGCACAAGATTATTTTGACGGAGATGGTACTGGAAGTTCAATTAGGCACTCATTAATTTAAATATTTCACACATGGATCATAAAAGGTAAATTTCACTCCCACCTACCACCACGCCCTTAATCTTCCCTAAATTCTCTAGACTTTGGAAATCCCCAGTAGAGCTAACAAACCTGAGAAACCTAATGAAAGCTGGGCAAGGTTGCTCACGCCTGTAATCCCAGC